CTGTTAAGTACTGAGGCATTTTGACCTGCTATAGGCCTCGGAATAAGTTCGTACCAAGACTGAGGTGATGGTCTTTCATAGTTCTGATTACTAGTTTGACCATTAGAATGTCCATTAACTTGCATAGGTTGTTTATCTCTAGCCAATCTTTACTGAGGGATATTTAAAACTTTGCCCATGTGTCTTGCGTTTGTTGTTTGGTGGTTATTCATTCGATCCAAAAAGGATGTTGCCCACATTTCCATCGTGTTTATTAACTACTGTCCCATGGCATCTACTAGGCCACCCCATGGATTTATTAGCTGAGTCGATGGAACAGTGGATGGTCCAATTCCTTGGTCTCGTCCAATATTACGAACATGTGGTACTTGTTCTGAAGTGCTGGTCTGTTCGACCATAGGTTCTGATAAAATGGGAGTTTCCACAGGATGTGTTATCACATTATCCTCTGGATTAGGTATCTCTACCTCTCATTCCACGCCTTCTTCCAAGCGTTCATTTTCCCCTTGTCTCCTACGTCTAGCCATTTAATTTGTCTCACCGGGCATGCCAAAAATATATGTTGGTTTTTTGACTTTCGAATGTTATTTTTGTAATTGCGAGCGTACCAGCAAGGATCAATTAGTCCTTACAGAAAATTAATTGCCAACCAATTATCAGACGATTGTGTTTTAGTTCTTTCAGTCTCAATGAAGAAGACTTTTACTGGTAGCTTGATTTATGAGAATTAAACAAGATAACAATTAAATGAAGAACAATTGAAGCATTTCATTAAAATGAAAAATTTACAATGATCCAAACTCAGCCTCGTAGAGGTTTACAGCGACAATTTACTACCTGAAACTACTCCTATGAACGAAGTGCAGTACAGGAATTTAAAGTACATGAATGTAAAGAACAGGAAATGTAAGACTGGAAATGTAAAACTGGAAATGAAAATAAGTATAATAAGACTAGTTTTTTGGATCTGAGTCTGGGGCCTTTTCTGGGGCCTTCTCTGCTATTTATACTTTTCAAGGATAACTATCGAACTGCATTTCCAACCGTCGAACTGCTCCTCCATGATCGCTGATCATGTTGCCTTGTAATTAGCCCAATATGCCATCAGTTACAGTTAGACTTCTCTCATAAATTTGAATTTAAATGTGAGTAACCGTTGAAGCCACATCACCTTGCCTATCTTTGTTGATCCACTGCTACTCAAATCTCGTAATAACCAATACTAACTGTCACGTGTACGATTATGATCGAAGACTTGACTAGCCTTCCTGTATTACCCTTATTCTGCCATGCGTCGAATTGTAATTGGTTTGTACAAAATATATAGCCAACAAATATATAAATTACTTAAGTGATAAGTATGTTCTTAATGAAACCCAAAATCTTGGGTTCAAAATTCACTTACATTGTGTATAATAATTTTTTTATTTGATAGAGATACTCTTAGAAACACTTAAATTATCACTAATAAATTTGTGTACATTATTGACTAGGAGTGCTCACGGTTAGGTTCCGACCTGGGAACGTCTAATTTGCAATTGTCTGTCGAATTGGTGGATTGATAGATGAATGTGAATCGGTTTTGCGATTTAAATTTTGAAAATTTTCAATAATAAACTTGTTGACCGTTTATATAGATATGATCTATATATATATTTTTTGGGATAACAATCAAACATGTCTTATTAATAATGACTATAAATATAAATAATAATTTAACAAACCTCCACCTTAACAATGACTGCGAAAACCAAAAGAGATTATAGAGCAGCTATTTGAAAGAAGCTGTCCAAATTCTAAAAAATGGAGAGTATACATACATATCAAGGTGTGTATATATATATATATATTTGTGTATAGGTTAACGACAATGCTACGTAGTTCAAATTTTGTGGCTCAAAAGTGGCTTAAATGGCCAAAACGACGTCGTTTTGAGTACAGAACAACATAAAAATAGCCAAAACGACGTCGTTTTGGCCTTTTGAGCTACAAAATTTGAGCTACAAGACATTTTCCATAGGCTAAAAGGAAAAATAAATAAGTAAAAAGTAATAGAATAGTAGGTGAGTATTTTAAAAATATAATTTGATTGGAGCACTCGCGGTTCCATCGTAACCTGGGATTTAAAACTTTTTTCTTTTGGAATGGATGAAAAATAATCACTATGTTTGGTTATCATTTTTTAAAAATACTTTTTAAAAAAAATTATTTTTTTATTTTTCGTATTTTTTTATTTTTACTGATTTTTTTAAATATTTTGAGCAATTTTTTTAATTTTTAAACATACCTGACACACATATACCTAAAAAGTAAAAAAAAAATTGAAAAAAACCTTTTAAAAATTCACTAAACACCAAAAATACAAAAAAAATACGAGAATTCAATACATTTTTTATATTTTTATGTATTTATTAATTTTTAAAAATATTTTTTCACAATTTTTTTTGCTTTTTAGAGATATCTAAGTAAGGTGCATCTAAAAAAGTAAAAAAAAATGTTTAAAATTTTAAAAATATTCACTAAAAATAAAAAAAATACGAAAATCAAAAAACTCAATTTTCAAAAAAGTTAATTCAAAAAACTCAAATCAAATACACTGAATAATTTTTGTTTGGTTTTGGAGTTTTCAAAACAAATTTTGAATTTTTAATCCATATTTTATATTTTTAGTGAAATTTTTAAATATTATTTAAAAAAAATTTAGATCCACTATTTAGGTACACTTAAAAAATATAAAAATTTGTGAATTTTTTTAATAAAGTTCACTAAATATTAAAAATATAAAAATTCAATATATTTTTGTATTTTTTTCATTTATTGATTTTTTTAAAGATTTCTTCATAAATATTTTGCTTTTTAAATACATCTAAATTAGGTATGTCTATATAATAAAAAAAACTAAAATATAAAAAAATACATATTAAAAATTAAATTTTTTTTTTTGAAAATTCAAAACTAAACAAAAAGAATATATATTTTTTATTGTGAATAAATAATGATACTCTGGTGTTGTTTGATAAGTTGGTTTGTGGCTAAAATAGCCATAAAAGACAAAATAGGCTATTTTAGCCACAACAAACAAAATATCACATCTAACCCATAATCATTATACTCTTCTCTCACAAAAAAAGTCAAAAAATTCTTCCTAAATCAAACTTTTTAGTCCATGCTAAAATAGCCGAAAAAATCAAAAAGTCAAAAAACAACCCACTTTCCAAACGGAGGCTCTAGTTAAATTATTTGATAGAGTTCCTAGTTTTTCCTACAAAAAAAAAAAAAAAAAAGGAAAATAGAATCACAACAAAAAGATTTTTGTAATACACAGTAGCCAAATCCAAAATTTCTCAATCCCCAATGGTCAAGGTGTAATTAAAATCGTTTTTTTTCGAAAGATTTATTTATAAGTCTTTTTTTTAGACACTTATGGTAGGTTAAGTCCTGTGTAATTTTTTATAGAGTCTCAAGTCCTATTTAGATATGAATGTATTCCATAAGATCCTACATAAACGCAACGTGACGTGATACTTACATAAACGTAACGTAACGTGACACCTAAATAAACATAACGTAACGTGTCACGTTACATTTCGCAAACTTAATGAGTTTTTATTTTTTAAAATTGAATGTGAAAATGTTGCTGGTTTATGTTGGTGTTACGTTACGTTACGTTTATGTAGGTATCACGTTACGTTACGTTTATGTAGATATGATCTATGGTAACATGTAATTTCCAATATAGGAAATTGTATGTTACCATAGATTATAAGTGTCACATTACGTTTATATAGGTGTCACATTACGTTACGTTTATATAGATATGATCTATGGTAACATTCACGTAGGTGTCACGTTACGTTACGTTTATATAGATATAATCTATGGTAACATTCAATTTCCTATATGTGGTTTTACTTTTATTTATGATATTAACAATTAATATTGAGGGTAAATGTGTCAACAAATTTCTCACAGGACTTGTAAGAATTTAAATTTTTTAGTAAGACCATATGTAGTATAAGTCTCCGTAATAATGCTACGTAGCTCAAATTTTGTGGTTCAAAAGTGGCTCAAATGGCCAAAACGACGTCGTTTTGAGTTCAGAACAACATAAAAATGGCCAAAACGACGTCGTTTTGGCCATTTAAGCCACTTTTGAGCCACAAAATTTGAGTTACGAGACATTTTCCTAATACTTATAAATAATTTTTTTTTAATTATATAATATATTTGAATAAAAGTATTAGACATCACAAAAATGCTATTAAACATTTTATCAAATTTACGTTACGTTTATATAGATATGATCTATGGTAACATTCACGTAGGTGTCACGTTACGTTACGTTTATATAGATATAATCTATGATAACATTCAATTTCCTATATGTGGTTTTACTTTTATTTATGATATTAACAATTAATATTGAGGGTAAATGTGCCAACAAATTTCTCACAGGACTTGTAAGAATTTAAATTTTTTAGTAAGACCATATGTAGTATAAGTCTCCGTAATAATGCTACGTAGCTCAAATTTTGTGGTTCAAAAGTGGCTCAAATGGCCAAAACGACGTCGTTTTGAGTTCAGAACAACATAAAAATGGCCAAAACGACGTCGTTTTGGCCATTTAAGCCACTTTTGAGCCACAAAATTTGAGTTACGAGACATTTTCCTAATACTTATAAATAATTTTTTTTTAATTATATAATATATTTGAATAAAAGTATTAGACATCACAAAAATGCTATTAAACATTTTATCAAATATCTCATTAATGTTAAACCCACATAAAACCTAGATAACACATATGAAATATTCTTTTCAAGACACATATAAAATATTTAATAAAAATATTAATAAAATATTTAAAACCTCTAACATTTTTCCGATATCTAAACATTTTCCCGATATCTAAATGCATTCTAGTTGTCACAAGAAGGTGTCAAAACTGCCAAAATGAGGGCAAAGTATCAGAAAATAAATCTAAAAGCGGGGGTGAGAGCGAGAATTTGAGGTATGGATAAAAATCCGCTGTTTGGAACAGCCCATAGGAAATCGAAAACATGGCCCATGGTTTTCCTCTTCTCTCTCCTCTCTCCTCCTCTGTTGAAAAAACAAACTGTACTTCTCTATCAGCTAACCCTAGCCTCTGTCTCCCTTTTAAACCCCCATCCCCATCCCCACCCCTATTACTTCTATTCTACCCTCCTCTTCCCATCACCTTCATCAACAGAGAGATGCAAAACTTCACATCTCTCTCTTTCTTTCTCACCTCAACATCATCAAAAACTACTATTACAGTATTTTAGTACAGTTACCTAACACATACACACACATACACATACATATATATAGAAATAGCATCATCAATTCCTCATCCATGTTTATCAGTTTCTCTCTCTCCACCCTGCTCCTGTCCTCTGTTCTGGTATTTTTCTGATCTTTCTTTGGTTACCCAGATCGTAATTTTGTGTTTTCTTGATTTTTTTGAATTACCCATCTCGCAATTTCCTTCAATTTCTATCCTATCTGTTGTCTCTGTTTTTTTCAAAAAAATAAAAAAGAAAAAATTGATCTTTGTTGGGGGGTCTTCTGGGTCTCGAAATTGAATTTGTTGAGATTGAATGGGGATTGAGAGAACTCTGATTAATCAGAAAGGTAAGGAGTGTTTGGAATTGGCTAGCGAGACGAAGAATAGCAAGTCGAGGAAGAGCCGTAGACGGCAGAGGAAAATGTCTCAGGTGCAGAAGCTATATGATATATGTAAGGAAGTGTTTGCTACTGGTGGGCCCGACATTATCCCTCCTGCCGATGATATCCAACGGCTGAAATCAGTGTTGGGTATGGTTTTTATCATTTTTTTTTGTTTTGTTTTGTTTTGTATGTGTGTATGTCATTGCCCTGTTATTCTAGTTTTAGACAGTGGTGATTTGATCAAAATTGTTAAAAATGTGGTTATCTTGATATGGATTGGTCACTAAACATGAAAATTGGATTGCCTTAAGGAGTGAATTGGGCCCCATCAGTGACAAGTTTCAATGGTGATTGTTATTAGTATTTTTATTAATTATTCAATGGATCTTACAATAGTAAGATCGAAAATTACACTTGGTAAGAGCACTTCATTCACTGGGTTAACATTTGTCTTGGTGATCTAATTGAGCAAAATGAATAGAGAAAACAAACACAAAAATAAATGGGATGGATGGAATTTTTGGGAAGTTAAATCTTGTTCATCTATGTGTTTTCTGTGTGTCCGGTTCGGATTCTGTATTTCTAGCATTGTTGTAAATTGAGGCTTGCTTTTTATTTTTTCGGTGAGACTTCGAGGTTTGTTTTTACACAATTGACTGTTTCTCAAACTTGACTATGACCAATTGGCTGCTTGTTGTTTGTCAGCTATAATTTTGAGTGGCAAGCCAGCAACTTTTTTGTTTTCTTGTGAGAAACCCTCACACGTTTTTCCTTGTTTTGGTTCTTTTTGATTTTGTGCGAAATGTTCACTGAATTTTGGTGGGGTTTGCCTCTTTACTAGGCTTTGTCCGGTTTTGGATTTTGTTTCCATCTCACAACTACTGTGTGGTTTTATTTGGATAGTTTTGTTACAAACAATGTGGCTCTATCATTTCAATCCTTACACTTGTTAATCAGTTAAACTGACATTATATCACTTTTTTACTTTTAACTTAGTTAGTGATTGGTTGGCTTTCTTTCTCTTCAATCAAAGATCTTTTGTTCTCAAATTTATCAATCACTCTCTCAAAACACTTAGTTATTGAATCATCTCAGAATCTTAAAAATCTTGAAGCACACAAAGCTTGACTATCTCGACTCTTGAGTGTTTGGGACAGAGGATTCCGTGTGCTGGAAATAAGGCTGAACCTATAATTTGTATGCCATTGTTGTTTATTATGGCTTGAACTCCCTGTATTTTGGACTTGCATTTTCATTTTGATGCCATTTCCATACTATTTTATCCGCCTTTTGGCTATCAGTTAACCCATTATGCTTCCAAAAATGCGTAGCAAATGTTTCATAGATTGATGGGGCATGATTGCAACTAGATTAATTAAATCTGGAACTTCATTTTCTTCAAACACTTCTAAAAAAATTGGCAAAAGAGTAGATTTTACGTGTTCTTGCCTTTTGTATTTTCTTATCCTACTAGTTTGACTCCTTTCTTGTGGGTTCTATTTCTGCTCACCCTTTTCCTTTTGTTTTGTCATTTGTGTGCTAAATAACTTGCTTACTACGTGTAGATGGCATGACTGAACGGGATGTTGGCCTGAGCCCAAATATGTCATGTTTCGGGAGGACAACTACTGATCAGCTTCCAAGAATAACATATTTACACCTCCATGAATGTGACAAGTTCTCGGTATGTGCACTTTGAGTTCATTTCTTCTTCTTCCTCGTCAGTAGAAAAGTGTTTGTTTGTTTGTTTGTTTGGGTGTGGGGGAAAGAGGGGAGAAAAGTGAGTTGTTTTGGTGCAATGATAAGATAGATTGCTACATTGCAACCTTGTGCATTGAGACTGCCTTTTTGGGAGAGACTAGGGTAGTTGACTTGTACAGTTCTGATTGTTGCCAAAACCTCTTTCAGTATTCGGTTTGGCATCTTCTTAGGGTGTTTTTCTGATCTTTCTTCAGTACCCAGATCGTAATTTTGCATTTTCTTGAGTATCTTTAATTACCCATCTCGTAATTTTGCATTGGAGAAACTTGTAATTTTCTTCTTCTTCGTCATCAGTATGGGATTTACTTTGATTTTGGATTGTGTGAGGTGTGGGGGAAAGAGGGGAGAAAAAAGTGGTTTTGCTTTGGTGCAGCGGTAAGATTGCTATATTGCAATTTGCAACCTGATGCTATGTTTTTAAACCACGGAAATAGTCTCTCTACATACAGAATGAGACTGTGGCACAACCTTGTGCATTGAAGTTGACTCATACAATTCTGATTGTTGCTATCTTTACCTCTTTGAGTCCTCACTAAATTGGTCATTGCAGATTGGGATCTTCTGCTTGCCACCATCAGCTGTGCTTCCGCTCCATAACCATCCTGGAATGACGGTGTTCAGCAAGCTTCTCTTCGGAACCATGCACATCAAATCATATGACTGGGCAGTCGATGTCACTTCCGACGGTAAGTTTGTTTAGGTCTTTGCTATGTGTATAGTATACTTGCTGTGCTTTTGGAATATGGGAGCAATTTATACCTTCATCTCACGCTTGTGGACAAATAAGCGTCTTTAAAGTTAGTTTTTGTTTATGTTTGTGATAGTTGTTTGATTTTGATTAGAAGCAAAAGTTTAAAGTTAGTTTTGCCCGAGTGTTCATCATTCCACAACCTAACAGTAAGAAGGATAGTTTTCATTAGTATAGTTTGCCATTTCTAGTGAATCCACTTGATGAATCACTTAATTTATGATTTGTGAGCAATCATAAAGATTATGATTTGGATGAATGTGCTGTGAGATTCTAATCTTAGGCACTAAATTTTCCCAGAGAAAAAAAGGGAAAATATTCATTTAATAGTATTGTAATAAAGGATATTTTGAAACGACTGCTCCACCCATGCCACTATGCCTAATTAATCATGGGGCAGTTTGATGCACTTTATAGACCCGGCATATAACTTCCCTTATTATTTATTTTTATTTTGTGAGTTTGTTATTTGGTGTGACTTCTGCATATAATTTATTAGAAATAAATTAAACAAGCTAATTTTTTTGCAAGCTCGGGAAATGGTGCTTTTAATTTTTACTTTATGATTATGCTTAAGAAAAACTACACCACTTTACGATTATGCTCAAGAAAAGCTACACCAAACAGGTCATATGATGGACATTATATGCTATACGAGAGCCCCATCATTGTAAAGTTAAATCCTTCATTTTCATATGCATCATTTATGGGGTTTTTTTTTAATTTCTTTTATTTTCTTTCTTTCTTCTTTTTACTCCTATTTCTTGAGAAATATTTGAGTGTTGATAGCAAGTTTTGTCAACAAATACAGCCAATCCCCCCGGAGTACGGTTGGCGAAAGTCCAGGTCAACTCTGACTTTACCGCTCCCAACACTTCTATCCTTTATCCAGCTGATGGGGGCAATATGCACTGCTTTACTGCATTGACACCTTGCGCCGTGCTAGATGTTTTGGGCCCGCCATACTGTGATCCTGAAGGAAGGCACTGTGCATACTACCTTGACTTCCCATTTTCTAGTTTCTCAGGTACAATTTCTGCTTTATTTTTCCCCATAGTTTTGTCTTCACATTTTGGTATTGCTTTTTACGAGAAACCTTAAATTTTTAGAAGAAAATAAGAGGGCAAAAAAGAACACCAACCTTTATAGGCTGATCATTTTCTAGAAGAGAATCAAAAGAAAAAGACCTGAAATTAACAAAATAAATAAAAATTCCAACCTTTGTTGGCCTGCTTATATCATTATCTGGAAGAGTATCAAAAGAAAAAGGAAAAGAAAAAGAAGACCCGGAATCAAAAAATAGAAAACCCAACCGCTGTAGGCGGCTTAGATCATTCTCTATATAGTATAGAAAATATTAAAACAATAAAAACCCAAAAACAAAAAATTAAAAAACCCAACTCCTATAGGCTGCCTGGATCATTATCTAGAAGAGAATCAATAGAGAAATAAGACACGAAAATAGGAAATAGGAACCCTTTAAAGTAATTTATACGGATATGAGGCACGGATGCAATACATTACGGATACGACAATACAACAAAATTTAAAAAAGTAGGATACGAGTACGGTTAGAATACGTTTGTAAAAAATAAAAATAAAAAAAATTATTAGCAGTGAGTTACACGTAAGTTCAAAAATGTTGAGAAATCACAGTAACTTTATGATACAAAATATTAATCTTTAAGAATTATGTATTAATTTAAGGCAATAGCTAGTTTAGTTTTTAAATTTTCAATAGGTTTTGCAAATATTTCATTTCAATATCAAGTCTAATATGTTGATATTATAATATCAAAACAATCCACAACTTAATCTTATGCTTTTTCTTTTGCACTAGTCAAAAAATATTCTATGCAAGTTTATTTGTTTATTTATTTATTGATATTTAATTTTACTATTGTTATATTATCTTTATTAATCCTTTCTTCTATGTAATTATAGGAAACATGCATAATACAATGAAGATATGCCAATTTGATGAATTTTATTACTTTAGCTTACTATGTTATTTTTATAAAAAAACTAAGCAAAGTATTATAAAAATATTCTGTTTATCATCGCAATTATATCATATTATGATGTTATGTAAGAAATGATACAATTCTAATTTCATAAAAGGAGTAATATGTGACTTGGAGCATTTGATACTTCAAAATTGATTAAGAAATATCCGATAATATGTGACTTGGAGCATTCGATACTCCAAAATTAATGAAAAATTAATTAAGAAGTATCTGATACTTTTAATAAGTATCTGATATATATCCGTAAGTATCCAAGGAGTATCAGTATCCAATATGGATTCGATACAAAAACGTCTTCCCTTGTGAAGTATTTGTGCTTCATAGGTTTCTACTACTCTTTTTTTGATTACTTTGGGTGTTTTAATTCATAGATGATTTGGAATTGCTACTCCATTTTTATTTCAAACAATTCTTTATAATTTCTTCTTAGTATTGGCATGAAATCCTGATTGTTCAATTTTGTCCAAACAAACACCTGGTTCTCTTTCTCTCTCAGTGGATGGAGTGTCGGTGCCGGAGGAGGAGAGAGAACGATATGCCTGGCTTCAAGAGAGGGAGGAGAATCCCGAGGACTTGACTGTAGTTGGAGGAATGTATAGCGGCCCTAAGATTGTGGACAACTGATACATCAACATCATACTTCTCATCTTTCACCCCATTGTTCCATGTTGTCCTCTGCTTTTCCTTGTGCTTTTTTTCTTTTTTTTCTTTTTTTTTTCCCTGTTGAATTAGTTTTATATGTAAATAATCTGATAGAATGAAAAGAAAATAGATGATTGGTCGGAGTGCACCGAAAGTAGTTTGAAATTGCATTGACCAAAAAGCTAAATAGTGCACATTTGTCTTGAGAACTACCTGTCTTTATACTTCTTCTTGTTCTGTTATTTTCACCTTTTGATCCTGTTTGTTTGGGGTTATCGGGAGAGGTTTGAGATTATTAATTCCTTGGTATACTAATGGGGTATTTGTTTTGAGAGATGGGGAGAGGATTATTAATCCCTTGGTGTTAGTAGTTTCCTTGAAAGGGGGATTGGTAAGGAGGAGATAGAGATGGTATTAGAAAAATAGTTAGGGGATTAGAAATTTTTTATTTTTTATATATTGAATTTTTTTTAAAAATATTAATGTTTAATTTTTTATATTTTTTTTATTTGCTTTATTATTTTATATAAAAATAATTTAACAATTCCTCATTATTAATCCTCTCACTAACAATCTCTTCACTATTAATTCTCTCGCTATGAATTTTTTCCATTCTATTTTTGAAAATAAACGGGACCTTTAAATTCAAATTAAGTAGTTGTTTGGACATGCTTACCTTACATATTTGGCAGCAAAGGATGGGTTATTTAAATGTTACTTTTATCAAATTTTGATATGATAGTTGTACGGGGAGTAAATACTTGTTGTCTTTCGTACTCCTCGTGTTCAGGTTTTGCTTCACTTTGAGTAACCTGAGAACACGACGACGGTGAGTTATTCGGCTGATGGTGGCCAGAATACTCCTTCAATGGTCAAGTTAGCACAATTTTAGACAGAGAAGACCAAAGAAATCTGATAACCAAAGAGAGAGAGCTCTGATGACCAAGAGATCTTAGTGTGTAAGGGTTCCAAACCTCTGTATGGAGACTTGTATAATTTGTGCGCGTACCTCTGCCCGTCCTTCCTTAGACGCGTGGACATGCTTCTCTCTTGTCTGTCAAACTTTGTTGCAGTTGCTTGAGAGACCATATAAGTGGCATGGGTTGAGGATTTTTTGTCCTAAGTTGTGTTTCCTTGTCCCAATTCACATAATCCAAGGCACTATCGAGTGAAAATAGAGAGAAGTTTTAGGATCCTCTGGTTTTGGAACATAGGATCTGCCCTAACGTTTGATGTTTTGCAACCAGATGTCTCTTTCCATGGGCCTCAATATTTGCACATAATGGGGGCGGTGTGGTACAGTGTTTTGTTTGCAAACCAGTTGCACGCAGGGGGAGAGAATGAGATAAAGGACTAGAGGACGGACAAAATATGACAAAATATAAAAAATTGAGCATTTGTTTTTAACAATAAAATTTTAAAAATACCACTAATAATTTTGTACAAAAAATTTTGGTCTTGTTACGAAAAATACAGTGATGACATTTATTGACAACTAAGATGTTCCGTTTTTAAAATGTGATTTCGTTCATAAATTTTAATCTTAATTTATTAGAGTTATAGTAACTAAAAAATAATTTTCATGTTTTTGCATTTTTCTTTATCTTAACTTCCATTCCCTCCTAAAAAGTAAACAAAATGATCTAATTAAACGGAAAGTTATCATTTTAAAATCAAAGGCCTACAAACTAGAGACGATTTTTTAATTGTATAAAAAATTATTAATTATGAAGATGTATATTTTTTTAAAAATAAAATATTTAATTTTTTTTATAGTTATTTTAATAAAAAAAATTCAAGTCGCAAAAGAGGCCTTAAATTCTGTGTCCCAATCTTTTTTGAACTCTCTAATATTTATAGAGAGAAAAAAAAAAAATCTTAATCCGGACTTGAATTATACGTGCTACGACTTCATGATTATGCGAGTCAAGCACACGCCTTAAGTCAACAGCTGACATTTCAAGCAATAAATTTCATTTCATTAGTTCGAAACGCGGACACAGCGAAAAGACTTCAGACGCGGGTACAGTGAAGAAGACTCTGAAGCAGACAATTGTAGACCACGCCTCATCTCAGCCAATCCAATTCATTCTGAAAACTTTCTTGCCACTTCCACTTCTGCTTCTCAGTAATCTCTCTCTCTCTCTCTCTCTCTCTCTACATTTGTATATTTATTATACACATAAAAGCTTACGAATTCTAAGCCCAGTGAAGCAACAGTTGGAATATTATATATAGTTTTTTCACTGGCGATCCAGGGTTTTCTCTGTGTGGGCGGGATTGTATTAAAAGTTATTTTGGTATTAAGTAGTCTAGTCAAACAAGATTCCAACTTAACCAAACAAGATTTTATTTTATTTTTTAATCTCCTAAATATCCAAACATAGTGTTAATCTATGTCCAGATATCTCCACTAGCTTATTATGGGAGCTAGAAGAATTATTGACTTTGATTTGATTTGATTTGATTTGTTTTGATTGGGTATTAGGTGGTGAGGATGTTGACTCCGGCCAAGAAAAGGTTGATGAGGGATTTCAAGAGGTTGCATCATGACCCTCCTGCTGGTATTAGCGGCGCTCCCTATGACAACAATATAATGCTTTGGCATGGTGTTATATTTGGGTATGCCTATGGATGAAATTAAATTCCCATAGATATTTTCATTTATTTTTATATAATTTTTGAATCAGAAAGACCTCTCATTTCTTTTTTGTCTGTCTTGCATTGCAGTCCCGACGACACTCCTTGGGACGGAGGTGAGCAAATTCTTGCACTTATATTTTCAGCGATGATGCTATTTTTGTCGATATGATATAAGTTAATTTGTTTAGTACATGTTCTAGAGAAATATCTATGCACTTTGCTCAATGACACCAAATTACACTCGTCTAGTTATAGTTTAATCTATCACACACACAAGTTTTGAATGCATTGTGAATGATTATTACATGGTTCTATGCGGTTTAAGTTATATATTTTATTGAGTGGACGTTGGTGCAAAATCAAATTAGTTCCACTTGTGGTTTTCCGTCAAATTGTTTTGGCTGAACATAATACATAAAACTATTTTTCCCACAAACAATGTCTACTAGTTTGTATCCAGCACCAAAACGGCATGGCCTGTTCCAAAAGGCAGTGCCTTTTACTATTGTAACAAAATTCAGCACTAGCGTTTGCTTGCTAATCTGATACCTTTCGTCTGAATTTCATTCCGCTGTCTTAAGTTATTCTGAATTCCCCGCAGCTCTTTGACATCAGATCATCTAGGAGGTTTGCCGATCTATTCTTCTGTATGCTCTCTACATTTCATCTTTGGAAAAAAATGTTTTAAAATAAGTGCAGTTTTTTTTCCCCCCAATATGTGATAGCACCTGCTGCATTATATGTTACTTTAAGTTTTCAGGTACATTTAAGTTGACGCTGCAGTTTACAGAGGATTATCCAAATAAGCCACCAATAGTGAGGTTTATTTCACAAATGTTCCATCCAAACAGTAAGTTGGGCTTTGAACTACATCGTCTTGGTTTTTTTTTTAAAGATTCTTATTTGAGACCGACCAACAATTAATATTTTGGCCTTTGCTTTCAGTAGTGATTTTGAATGTGTTCAATGTGTATGGTTTGGATCTGGATCTTTATCTTCCCTTTTTAACAGTAGGAGTTAAATGGTTTGCTGTAAAAATGTTGCAGCTACTTTAGTTGTGCCACATCCACTGCATCCTCAGAAGTCATGCACTGCCACTAATATTAACTTCAATACTGTTTACTCCTTTTAGGATTGCCAACATTGCTTTATACTTGTCTTTAGAAGTTTCTATTACTTTTTTGGGGTTTATTAGTTTGCATGCTTCTATTACACTTTGTGCCATATCCACCGGAGCTTTTTGCACAGAATCCTGCTTTCTTTGTGTCTTTTGATTGCTCCTTGATATTTGATTTCCTCTCTTATGTGGTGAAACATAATGTCACTAAGATATATGCCTATGCTAGTTGCTCATACCATTGTTTTGTGCTTGGACCAGTTTATGCAGATGGAAGTATTTGTCTGGATATTCTACAAAATCAGTGGAGTCCAATATATGATATAGCTGCTATACTGACATCTATCCAGGCACGATGGAGTGTATATATGGTTCAAAAATATCTATTGCTAGGAATGGTCAGATGATATTGCTCGTAGTAAAAAATCACCCTTTGATTTTGATTTAAAGATACTAGTTTCAAATGATTAGTGAAATGGTAAACTGAAGCTGTTGTAGTTAATTTGCTTGAAAAAGAGTTATTCAAAAGAACTTTTTCTGTCCGTTTTTTGGTGGAGTATGACAGACTCGTGTTTGTTGATTTTGGGAAAAAAGGGCGTCAAACCTGCAACCAATTTAGAGTATGCTAGCAGAAAACATATCTCCTTTGGCTCTTGTGCTATTTATTTTTTTCTTTATGGTTTCCACTTTCCTCTATGTAGGTAATATAAAATATGAGAAATCTAGAATGAAATACAAAAATATTTGAGAGCAGCAAAATAAAGTTGATTGGTTTGTGCATACCCATCTATCCACTTTATTTAGGCCAAGTTTGGGAAGACTAAATAAGTGCACTTTTTGACTTTTTTTGTATTATGTGTAGAAAAAGTAGAGAGGAGATGTTGATTGATGTGACCCAAAAAAGATAAAAAGATGAAATAAGTGCACTTTTTTAGGTTAGCTAAACTTGGCCTTAACAGAACTTTTACTTTTCTTTTTTAAACAAATTTTCATAAGGTAGCAGAATTGAACCCGTGTTGGCCACTCCATGCATACTATCCCTTGGATTTGGTGTGGCAAAATAGCGGCCAACCTTTCATTAATTGTTGACAAGCTCATAGATATAACATAACAACTTGGGGCACGTGTTTATGCGTGGTGTGTATTAAATTCATACTGTGCAATCATTTTACTAATAAATAAATGAGCAAAACCGGCAAATGCATGCAATAAACTCAGCAGTTTGTCAATTGTTCAAGCATGACTCCACCATACCAAATAGATATAACTTCTAGGAATATTTTGATTCCACAAAGCTACTGGTCACTAGTTCAGGTATGATGTTTTTTGATTTTTCCCATTTTTCTCATTGCAGTCATTGCTCTGTGATCCAAACCCAAACCCAAGCCCAAATGCAGGTTTCCCCTTTTTCTCATTTCAGTCAATGCTCTCTGATCCAAATGCAAACTCACCTGCAAATTCAGAAGCAGCATTGTTGTTTAGTGAGAACAAGTGTGAATACAACCGGAGGGTGCGTGAAATTGTTGAGCAGAGCTGGACAGAAGACTAAATCTCTCTTGCTTTGGGTGCTATAGGACGTAATTAAGCTGGTTCAAATCACTAATCTTCCTCGTTGTAGGTGGCTGGTTTGATTTTCTCTGGTGTTTGTGTATCATTGCTGTATTAATTACAAATGTAATAGAAAGTATTGTGTTATAGTTTCTTATGTTCGGGACATAAATCTTCTCTACCTCGTTATAATCTGTTTTTGTTGGTTGCATCATGGAGTTTGTGCACATAGTGATTTGTTGTATCAAATTGGCCTTGAAACACTTGAATTTTTATAAAAAATATTTTGGGTCTTTTTTGTGGTTAATCCTTTACTGAGTAGGTGTTCAGGTTTGTGATTGATTGTTTTGTGATTGCAAATGCCTGAGGTAATAACCAGGCAATTTTTTTATTAGTTTTCCAACACAGAAATTAGTGATTAGCAGGTCACCATTGGACCTCCCCTTGGGTTGTTTGGAATGATTTAAATAACTGCACTTTTTGATTTTTTACGAAAAGATATGCAGAAAAGTTGAGAGGTGATGTGACCAAAAATAAATAAAAATAAATAAAAAGCCAAACAAAAATATAGCTCTGCACAAATGGGCTATTTATGACTGTTAGGGGCCACTTGTGTTTTTTGTCGTTCAGTATCCAATACTAGAGTGAAATGATGCTTTGGGTCTCTTAATTTTGCTGGTTCACATTCCAGAATTTCTCAAAGCTCTCCCATTGCTTATGAATTGGTGATAGTGAACTCTTCTACTTCTAGATGCACTTGTAAACATGTAGAATTGGTATGAAGCTTCATGAAATCATGATGGCAATGGCCATATCTTCTTCACTAAAAGTTTAGGAATGCAAAAATTAATTATCGAACTGGACACAATCCTCTTGTATGAGGTGTATGGTTACTTTTTTGTAGGTTTCACAATTTTATGACTGGTTTTGTGCAAGTAGAAGCAAATTGAGGATCGAAATTATAAAGTAGTGTTTAATTTGTTGGAATGGACATGAAATGGTTTTTTTTTTTAAGGCCTTTTCATATGGAATGATTGCATTTTATAACTTTTAGTGAACCGACATAAAAATAACTATCATGATAGAATGATCATTCGCTTGACTTTTATTCACTGGACTAAACATTACCAGAGATTTGTTGTCTAGGAATTTAGTTCAAATTTGTTTTGTCCTTTGGTCACACCAGCTGGTGGATTACATTATTTAAATGTCCTAGCTATACTGTCGATTGCTCTTGATGGGGAATCCTATTTTATTAAGGCTTTGTTTAGTTTTGGCTGGTATATTGCAACCTTATTGTATGAATGAATAGTGAAAGCTCAACTTCTTACAGCCTGGATATTTGGTTCATGCAATTGACTTTAAGTTGTCGGTGGATATATCAATGTTGTGTACCTAACACATCCTACGATCCCACATGGAAAGGTAATTGAATTCTCTTTCTCTATACCTTGGGACTATTTAGTATAATTTATTATAAATTAAAAATTTATAATTAGAAATTAAAAGTTAAAAGTACTTTACCAGCTTAGATATTTGTTGTTTTAATTTATTTAAATTATTTTTAT